GGTCACAGTGTGCCTATAAAACTACCAACGTCCAACCGTGCAAGCTTGCGCGCGTGCACGCGCACTGAGCAAAGAGCGGCAGGGACGTTGATCGGCCCCCATCATCCCAGCCAGGAAATATCTGCAGCAGCACTATACTGTAGGCTGTTATTACGCAGGCAGGCTACCGATCAATACATGCACCCCCCCCCCAAAAAAAAAAAAAAAAAAAACTCGCCTGACATACCAACGGGGAAGCCCTCCCTCATAAATCTGGGCATTTCTTTTACAAAGGAATCACTCACCCGATGTTGCTCAGCGCCTGCTCGAACAGCTCCGTCTGCAAGATGTTCTGAGGTGCCGTGAAAGCCCCGTTGAAATGTGATAAAACCGAGCTACAGAACTGACGCAATGTCTCAAACTGCATTTTCCCCCCACCTCGGTTTTCTTTTTATCCTCAGTAAGTGCTCAGCCTTTTCCCTTTTCCCACCATTACATCCCAAAGCCTGCGCTCTCTCCGGACGCCCCCCTTCTAAACATACACCTTGTCAGTTTTTTTCCTTATTATTATTAGTAGTAGTGGTAGTATTAATGTTATCTCCCGGGGGCGCATTAAACGCAAATAAGACGCCGATCAAGTTCCATATTCCTCCTTGCGCTGCTGGTAAAAAAGTGTCCTTAAACGAGACGCATACCGGGTGGGCTCCTTCCGTCATAATGCTTCGGACTTGCAGCGAGAAAAGGGAGGCAGTGCCGGTGCCGGTAACAAGCCTTTTCTTCTTCTCGCGGCAGCGGCAAAAATCTCTTCTCCGTGTGCGGGGAGAGGTGAAGGAGCGTCCGGAGGAAAGAAAAAGCGAAGAACCATCCTACACTGCACCTGGCGGCGGCGGTAGCATCCCCGTACCGGCGCATCAGCTGCTGCCTCACATTCAACTCATATTTCCCGTTGCCCATGAAGAGTACACACTTGCCCTGACACGCGCACAGACACGTACGCACGCGCTACCGATACAGTCGCGCGAACTCTTTCGCCATATCTCTCCATTCTGTCTCGCGCACTCTTCGGGACGCGCACAGCGGCAGATAACCGTCAGAATCACGCACGAGGGGGGTGGAAGGGGGCGTGCTAGCGTCACGGCTTTTTGTCTTTCCGACATTCCACATCCGGCTTTGGAATATCAGCGCTACATCAATCAGCAATAAAGTTACTGTGAGGACAAAGCACACAACTAATGAGGGCTTTCCCGAGAGCCTGCTTGTTTATTTATTTATTTAATGCGTTTCATTTCGTCCAGACAGCCAACTGTAAACACTTGAAATTAGCCAAAAAGAACCCAGTTAATTCCAGGCCCTTCTTTAAAGCTGATGCATTTAATGTGGTTACATATTTTTACAAGTCTTCGTGTTTTTCAGAAATCTGTTTGTTTGTACGGGTTTTTTTGTTGTATTTTTTTTTTTAATTCAGTTTACTTTCCAGAGTTGGAAGAAGTTTAATTTAAGTTAGTTTCAGTCGTAGTTATTATTATTAATAATAATAATAGTAATAATAATAACCATTATCATTATTATTATTTGGTTTTAATGTTCGTAATATTCCAAGTTCACTAAGTCGTTTCAGTTGGCTTAATTGTTTTTTCACATGTCTACTTTTTATTTTAGGTTAATAAACCGTTTTTGTTTGGGGTTTTTTTTTTTACATCTACTTGTGGTTGTTAGTTTAGTTTTAGTAAACTATTATAACCTTACTGAAAGATAAAATATAAATCTGCTATATTTAAAGCAGCGCTTCAGCTGTTAATCAACACAATAAAGTGGCCCTTGTTTAAGCATGAGGCAGTTAATGTATTTATGTAGAATGGTGTTGGCACTGTGATCATGTTAGGATAATAAAGTCCGGAATAAAACAAACATGCAGATGCTATAGTTACCCACATCTATCTAAACTCAAACATATATGAAGTACTATAAATACTAGACTATGAAAATATTAAGCTTAGAGGGATTGCAAATGTTTGTATTATTCCACTGTTCCATGCAAGGGACCAGGTGAGTCAGCATCAAAAACACTCAGTCCTCTTTAGGTTTACCTAAACCCAAAGCCTCATTCGATTATATAAATAAAATTGAACTGAAATGAACTGCTGGGCTCAAAACAAACCCTCTCCTACTTAATACAAATCTAAAAGAAAACATTATATGTTCAAATGAAACTGATGACTAAAACAACAAAAACTATTAACCCTGAACTATCTGTGTCAGCTGTTCTACCATATTATCATTTCACTGCAGAGCTGATCGAAGCCAATGCGGCACGTGCATAAAATAGGACTAGTACTGGTACACAACTTTAAACTGGGACAGACTAGGTTTGACTAAACAATTGTCTCAAGCTTACTATGTAACACACTGGGTTTTGCTGGTTGTTACAGGATGCTCGAGCTAGGTTTATTGTGCTCCTTCCTCTTCTCACATTTTTTTGGCAGGGTGAATGTGCCCGCTGCTGGGTTAAATGTGTTGAAAATGCAGAATCTGAAGAAATTCTCTCAGGGAGTACATTCCAGTCCCTGTTTAGGTATGGCGGTTTCATCAGCATCACCCAACACTGCAGCTGTCCTGGCATATTTGTGCGTTCATTCAAATGACACCTTCGAGACCAAGACAAATTGGAAGCCCTCCCAAGTTATTTCTCCTTATAAATAGACCTCCAGCTTTTCCCCCTCCTTTTTTAGCACAACAGATCCAGGAGTTAATTTAAACATTCTTTAAGATTAATGAAAGTGGGTTTCGGTGCTTATGCGGAGGGAGTTCTATTTATACACTCTGTGCTATCCATCATCAGCATTATCCCATGAATTTTCAGACAGCCAGTTTCCTGTTTTGTCACTGCAAATGTAGGCAATGTCAATGCGAGAATTACTCCCTGGTACCATCTCCACCTCTCAAAGCTATGCAATCATTCACGATATAATGGCAAAATCCTCGGCCGGAAACAAAAAGTGATTGAGTGACTGACTGTTTGGAGCAGTCTGAGCAACTCCTGCATTACTTTGCACTGTAAAGCACTGCAGCTTTAATTACAATTTGCAGTTGATTCTCTGCTCTTTTTCTTTTTAAATCATTGGACAGTCTAAGGGAGATTCAACAAGAACACTGTGGCCATCCTTATCTTCCAACTGCATCCAAGCCATCAGGACTGTAGGAAAAAGTCTGATCCCCTGACTAAAGTCTGCTACATTATGTTTGCATGTGTTTCCACAACTACAAGAAGGACATATCCTCTATATAACTACCAAAAAGGACATATCCTCTATATAACTACCTGCTGTATAAAACTGTAACCTTGTGTGTTATACATCACTGAATGTGTAACAATGGGTATATCTGATGGAAGATGGGAGAATAACATCATGCCATCACTGTAACAGACTGATGAAGTGGCAGTGTTACGTATCCCATGTCTGAAAAGGCTTCATGTGTCACTCTGCTTGCTCATTGTGTTCTTGTCTATATTTCTGTAGGGTTTGTACCTTACAGTATAAAGTTCCCTGAGATGCACACGGCTATGAATCGGTCCTGTATATAAATATGTAAACTGAACCGATTCAAATTAAACCGTAGCACAGTGGCCTCATTACACAGTGAAAGCTCTAACAGGACACTCGTGTATTTCCAACTGACTTGCAGGGCAGATGTGTTAAATGGACTTCACGTATGAAATTTTTAGTGGATTCTGAGGACTGTGTTTTGAGACATGTTGTAACCAGAGTTGTGCAGGTTGTTTTGTCCCTGTGCTACACAGGTCAGCGTAACTGTACTTTGCTGGCATGTAACACAGATGCACATAAATTACTCTGGGCTAACTCTGTATAACTCTCCAATTAGATCCAGGCTATCCACTGAGTGTGCTCTCCACAACATGGCTAAGTATACAGCCTGCATTTCCCATCTTTCCTATAAAGAAGCATGGAGAGGAAGAACAGACAGAGAGAGACAAGGGGGCAACTGTTAGTCTGTGAGCTATAAGGTTGCTGTGGCACACCAAGGGTTGTGGAAAACAAAGCCTTACGCTGAACAAATGCTGAGTTACCTTACATCTGAGAAGGAGCAAAGACGGACACGAGAGGGGTTTTTTGTTGTTGTTTTATTTCAAGGGCTCTGCTGAGAAATTCCAGAGAGTGTACAGATCCTGACTATAAGCGTCCATCCAACCTTTAGAAGAATAAAGAGCAAGGAGCCCCCATGTGGACATCAAAGTAACTACTTTACTTGACACCAGCATCAAGAAAAAGGCAACCGGATATGGGATTCACAAACACAGCGTGTCAGTGTTGTCAGCATGTGAGAGTGTTGCACTCAGAGGGAGCGCTTAGTGCATATGACAAAAGAAACACAGTGTTCTGCATTGTAATTAGCCCACTCTTGCTTTTCGAATAAAAACAAACAAACAAAAAAACCCATCCTATTAATACTTTATTTACTGCAGTGGCCGAGCTGGCCTACAAACAGGACTAATTACTAAATAGGACCGCTGCAGTGAAAAAGTGCGCTTTTGTCTCAAAAACAGAGATAGTACTAATCACTTCACACACACCTCACCTGCCTGTTTCCCATTGCAGCTGAATCAGAGTTTCAACCATCTGTGATCATGTGTGCCACTGTGGTGTATGTGTGTGCATGCATGCATGTGTGTGTAATGAAGAAAGAATGAGTGGGTGGATGACTGTAGTAGAATAGCTGAGTTAGTGCCAGTTAGATACAGTATATGTCTCCCTGTGTCGTTTATAGGTCTCATGGGCTCCATGTAGAAGAAGCTTATATGGATTCTTATGGCAGGCTTGCATGTCTGTTCCTTCTACAGCAACACAGAGCAGCGGTAATATTAAAAGGCTTTCTGCTGTTAGATGAACCACCTTTATGAAGCTCTTGTCTGTAACTTACACCGTGCATGCAGCGCATGCTTGCTTGTTTGTTGTTGTTTTTCACAAACAGAAGTGAGGCGTGCATGTGTGGGGCTCGTGTACCTTAGCCCTGAACCGTTGTCAAGGGACGCCTGTCTGGGCAGGAGCCCGCCGTGAGGTCTGTTTCTGTCTGACGCTGGTGTCAAGTCTCCTGAGGCTCCCTGGTAGGGGTATAGGGACGGGTCCTGCAGTTTGGCCTTCTTCCCCTGTGGCCCACCCTCAAACACACCCCGCGCTTGATCAGGCCCCGAGCCGTAGAACCATGCCCCCGATTTGGTGAGGATTTCTTGTTGTTTTCGGCACAAGTTGCATACCCACATAACCTGCAGGCAAGAGAAGGGGAACAGTTAGTTCAACTGAAGAGGCGGTGGCAGCCTTATAAAACCTAAGATGAGCTGCAATGGAGTAATTTGTGTATTTGTTATCTAAAGCTGTAACATGACTATGAGGCATATTGTTGTTGCTGGGTGAACAAAAAAAACCAAAAAGATCTCTCAAGGTGTTTGACAATCAGGAATCAGGAAGAGAACTTTTATGAAAGTGAGTAAAATGAGTGTTTTCACCCCTGCAGCGACAATATTCATAAACACTACTCACAATTCATGGTGATGAGGTGAATGATGAAATATTAGACACATGCAGCAGCCTTTTAAATCAGTGAAAGGTAAAGTGACATGAGTGCAGATTTTTTTTTTATTGCTGCTCTACATTTTGAGCCTGTGCGTCCATCCTCTACAGTAGTTTTAGTGCAAATACAGCCGACTAACAGCAGAGGCTACATCATAGTGAATGTTACGCATATTTTGCTAATATATTTTAAAGGGAATGGCAATAATTTTTTTATGTGTTGTGTCATCCTGGGTAAATAAAATAATGTTTATTTATTGGTATAGCTGGATTGTCAGTGGACAGTAATATCACTCGGGTGACCACACCTCTCTCATTGAGTAAAATTTGAGAAGAGTAAGACCTTACTAAATGACTGGCAGGCCAGACAGCCAGTTGGGGGTGGCAAAGAGCCACTGCAGCACCCCACCCCCGACCCACACCACACATCGTGCTTTTACAGTCCCAGTGCTGAGTCAGTGCATTACCGTTATTAGTATAAGCGGGTGCTGAATTGACCGAAATGTTATGTCTACATTAACTGAAGTTGTTTAAACTGCGCCCGCCTGTACGGCAACTGTCAGAACAGGTTCAAAGGCTTGATCTGTACCACAGCTCCAAACTGCTTATCTCAGCCGCTGGTTCGAAACGAAATACAGAGAGACGCAGAGTTGGGTCTCTCCACCTCCGTGGCAGAGACCTAACAAATTATTATAGTTGGTAACAACCCAAAACATCCTATGCAACCTTTGCACTAACACACAGACCAAGAAAGTTTTTCTGGGTGGGACAGAGAGAAAACAAAAGCTGTCATCAAGTTACACAGTCAATCATTCAGTTTTATAAATTGTCACACTGTTATATCACAACACCCTGGGTGCAGTTGAACAGTAAAGAAAAAGCCTCGTATAAGACCTCCTGTGTCTTTTCCTAAGCAATATATGAAATTCCCCTCTCGCCCATCCGGGCGGTCTTTATCCTTCGAGCTCGGGTCCTCTACAAGAGGCCTGGGAGCTTGAGGGCCCTAGGACTGCGCTCTTCTGGACAGAGATCTCCGATGTTGTTCCTGGGATCTGCTGGAGCCACTCGCCTAGCTTGGGGGTCACTGCACCGTGTGCTCTGATTACCACTGGGACCATTGTTACCTTCACGCTCCACATCTTCTCGAGTTCTTCTCTGAGCCCTTGGTATTTCTCCAGCTTCTCGTGTTCCTTCTTCCAGATGTTGCTGTCATTTGGTATCACTACATCTATCACTACGGCTGTCTTCCTCTGCCTGTCTACCACTACTATGTCCGGTTGGTTAGCCATCACCATTTTGTCCGTCTGTATCTGGAAGTCCGACAGGATCTTAGCTCAGTCATTCTCCACCACCCTAGGGGGCCTCTCCCATTTTGACTTCGGGACTTCCAGGCCTTGTCGGCACAGATGTTTCTGTATACTCTGCCGACCACTTGGTTATGCCGTTCCATGTATGCCCTGCCTGCTAGCATCTTGCACCCTGCTGTTATGTGCAGGATTGTCTCAGGGGCATCTTTACACAGCCTGCACCTGAGGTCTTGCCTGGTGTGATAGACCCCAGAACTATTGATCTTGTGCTTAGAGCTTGTTCCTGTGCTGCCATGATTATGTCCATAGTAATGCATTCACATCATCTAGTAGACCTTCAGAGGATACTTCACGTAATCTTGATAACCGGCTATGGAGGGATTATGTTTCAAGGTCAGTTCCTTCTTCCATTGCATATATATGTATAGAGAGAGAGAGATGCTACACGACTGAAACACACAAGAAACACCTCACAAAAAAAGAGAACATCAGCCTTTTTTTTAAACACAGGTTAATGTCACAATAATGAAGGATCTGCATTATATTTCATAGGTCAAAGGAAGCTCAGCATCTACACATCTACACAGTATGTACTGGTCTATGTTCTAGTGACACACGAGGTATTTATGACCTCCTATCAGTGTTACAGATGACTTAGAACTCTGGTCACACACAATGGAAGCAGCGAGGCTACACACTGTGCTTTATGTGTCCCAGAGGACAGGAGCCAATCAGACCACAACTTCCTTTATTTATCCAGTGCCACTGTGAGAGCTCTGCAGCAAACCAGGGGTCACTGTAGAAGACCCAGCTGTCACCTTACTCCTAATCAACGCCACATTACCTCCTGTATTTGATTTAACTAACATTGTGAATTGTAACTAAATCATGGGAAGTTATCTCAACGTGGAAGTCTCCAATCACACAAAGGAGTCTGTTTTTTTTGGGGGGGTTTTTTGCTTCAGGTAACAGTGCTCTGCAGTAATCAAGGCAGAGCAGCGTATGTCAGCACCTTCAGTATGTCTGCTGACAAAACACATGTGCGCACACATTACTAAACACCAGGAGACCCCAAAGGCTGCAGCTATTCCACCAAAGACTAGTTAAATCCCACATATCAATCATCACCGACAAAGACAAATACAAAAAGGCTATTAATGATAATCTAGGTATAATTTATATGATTCTTTCAGAGTTTTGTTTTTCTCAGCCAAACAATTTTTTTGTGTGTAGACGAGTGGATTAAGCTTACTCATGGAGAAATGTGTGGGTATCTACACTAATAAAGTAACTACCTACATTAGAGCATGTAGGATCATGGGAAAAAATGTTTTACCTGGTTAATTACCTGAAATCTGCCCTTTCCACTGCTGTAGCCAATGACCTACATATTTACTCCTCCAAACTGCAATTAACAGGGAGTCAGTTACTGTGCACCTCCCCAGTCTGCCAATAATAATTAACCATATTCTCAGCCCTTGGACTGCACATGTCAAGCTCTTTTATCTCATCAGCGAAATACCTGATAGCCTATTAGTATTCCAAAAACACAGGCCAAAAAAACAAAACTGCATGGGTCCAGAAAATGTTGCACACACCGAGCTTCAGACATCAATACTTGGATTTGATTTGCACTTTGGATCTGAGTCAGAATAAAAATTGAGGGTTATAAAGTCTATAAGACAGGAGGAGGGGAAAAACCTCCACAGGCTGAATCTACAATATCTAAAAAACACTGAATGAAATTAAATGAAATTGTGTAGTGACACTGATGACATTTTCTGTGGTTGCCTAAATGTTTCACAGAGGTTATAGATGGGCTTGAGAGACTAGTGAGTGCTACCTGGTTTAGCAGTTCAAAGACTTCTGAGCTAAGGATACAAAATTTCTCAAATTCAACCCAAAAATAAGAAATCTGCTGAAACTTTGACGGTAGAGATAAGATCTCATGCTGTAGCACAGTACTAGATGTGTGACAGTAACGGAAGCACGTTGGTTTGTCTTTAGTCACACTGGCAGACACCACACAGCATAAGGCTGCTAACAGTCCATCCAGGGATGCAATCCAAAGACAGATTGAGCTCAACCCACACTGACAGGAAACTATTATAACCTCCATTCATTTGCAGAGAACATTGACAAAAAGACTCCACAGTAGATGAATGCATTCACAATGACACACACACACACTGGTCAAGCAGCTGTAACAGCCCCAGGTATTTTCACTATCACTGCAGCCATTCTGCTCCAGACTCTCAAACACACGCGCTTCCCTTTGGCTCAACTCTTCACGGCTGAGCGCAGGCAGCGGGTTTGGGGGCTGTGGCCCTCAGGCAGGACCATTTCTCTCTGTGTTTGCACATTTCATAGTCATTGAACCTGCAGTTAAAAATAGAAAAATAAAATTTTTTTAAAAAAAATAAAGCGCTACCACCCTGTCCAAAACACCTGGAAGATAGATACTCTATTCAACCTGCTATAGGCTGCTTACTGAGGCAGTGAATTAAGGGAAATACACACCACATGCCACAGGATCAATAAATAATTTCCTTTCCAATACTTTCTCATCAGACCAAAGGTTTGTTTTTTAGGGTAGCAGCAAATATCATCTTCCAAAAAAAGTGGGTGTGTTCTTGGGGAATTGGCAGTGCACATTCACATATGTCTTTGAAGGAGAGGTTATCTTTGACACCCCCCCCCCCCCTTTTTTTTTCTTCTGTGAATAAGCCAACAAGTAAAGACAACAACATGTATCCATCAGCAATGTCCATTACATATTAAACACTGTTGTGCATGCTCCATTCAATTTTTTCCTGAAAGAGACATCCCCTCACAAAGCTGCTGGATCTGCAGTAAGCAGAGAGCACCGAGCTCTCTCTTGTGGCCGTTAAATGACACTGCAACATTATTTAACACTCCAGAGTGAATCAGCAGTATCCTTCCAGGCAAAAAACAAGAAAAGCAGAAAGCCAGCTCCAGCGTTAAATGACACTTTTAGATTCATTCATTTTACACTCATTCATCCGTAACATCGTCACAGGATGCTATTTCAAATCGAGATGAGGAGCTTCTGGTGACATCTGTGCCACATTCATTTGTTTAACAGTTATAAAGAAACCCTGCTGAGTGTCCGTGCCACGATTCCAACTGAAGATTGCATTTGGAGGTTTTCTGTGAAATTTGTTGCATATCAGCTGCCCAATAGAGACAAAAATAAGCTCATCTACAGCTAAAGCAGCAACAAGCTGCAATATTGATGGGGCAGTAAATGAACTGTCATAGGTATCATATTGCATCCCTGTTTCCCTGCTTCACCTGAACTGGGGTGAACTGAACCGCTCATTAAAGACTCATTGTTTGGGTAGTGAAGTGTTCCTCAGAACATCCTG